CCATCCCCGCCTCTTCGACCTGTTTGTTTCCTCTCCACCTATCCTCTCCTCTATCCCTCTTCTATCCGCCTCCCACTCTCTCCCTATTTATTTCAAAACCCCCTTCCCCTCCCCCTTTTCTGATGAAGGGTCTAGGCCCGAAACGTCAGCCTCTCTGCTCCTATGATGCTGCTTGGCCTGCTGTGTTTATCCAGCCCTGCACCTTGTTATCTGTAATCCTAATGGGCCCTTTCAGCTTACAATACTTCCTAAGTCTCTTGTAGATTTGCGCAACCATGCTCTCTCAGCAGGACTGTGAGAAGCTGCTTTCTCTCTTCCTCCCTCCCTCCCTCTCCCCCACCCAGACAGTCAAAAGATCTCTGCTTTTGCTATGCTGGTCTTCTCAGAAGATCCGAGAGAGGTCTGAAGGGGAACCCTGTTTTTATACCTCTAAATAGTTTTCTGGAACTTTTTACATTTGTGGCCAATCAGGAAGACTTACTTAATTGCTTGAAACAGTGTCAATCATTTGGATGGCATGCTACTGTTTGGTTTCTTTACGTAAGAGGATCCAGTGCCTTTCTGTCTGGGTCCTCCTTTGTTTAATGTATAAATTGTTGGGGGTTTGTCTGGCCAGACTGCCCCAACTGCCGCCTTTTACACAAACTAATCTCATTAGCATCTGGCTGCTGTGTTGGCATTACAGCTGGTGCGTGAGTTTTGTGGCTTCAGAGTTTTACTTGGCCAATGTACCCAGCATCCCTTGCTTTTTGGGAAAATTAGCCACCTAGCTGCTACACAGCAGCAATTCTGTTCTGGGACACAACCACTGCAGGCAACATATCCTACAGATGACAATATTTTATAATAGCATTAATATTTAACTAGTCAATTGGAGTTCTTTGAACTTACACATGCTGTCGATAAAATAGAACTTCTGCATATACTAAGAATTCCTGAAGGCATTTGACAAGGTACCACTACAAAGGCTATTGCAGAAAATAAAAGTTCATGGTATGTTGCCACGAGCATAGCATATCGGCATAGATGATTGGCCCACTAACAGAAAGCAGACAGTTGACACCAATGGGTCCTGAAACATTTACAAGATGTAGTAAGGGAGGTCAGAGATTGATACTGGGACCTCATCTGTTTACAACTTAAAGGGCTTAGATGAAGGGACAGACAGTAATTGTCAAATTTGCTAACAACACAAATGGTAGTCGGAAAATAAGTTATGAGCAGACAAAGGAAGAATATGAAAAGTTAAATAGGTTAAGTGAAAAAAGATGTGGCAAGTGGAGTCTAATGTGGGAAATGTAAAATGGTCTGCTTTTGCAGGAAGAATAAAATAATTGTGAAAGATTACATACCTCTACATCTGAGATCTGAGTATCATCATGCATAGATTGCTTGTGCAGCAAGCAATTCAGAAAGCTAATAGAACATTATCATTTATCACAAGGGAGATTGTGCTCCAGTTTTCATTGCATTGCTACACCAACATCCAGTGCTGTGTATTCATCACCTTACTAAAGGAAGTGTGAAGATGCATTGGAAGAGTGCAGAGGTTTATTAGACTAATAGCTGGAATGGGCACTTGGACAACATAATGAAACATTAGACAAGCTAAGCTTGTATCCACTGGACTTCAAATTGAAACAAAAGATTCTAAGGGGTCTTGACAGAGTACATGTGAAATGCTTCCTCTTATGGAAGAATGTAGAACCAGGTGTGTACTTTAAAAAGTCAGGACCATCCAATTAAAACAGAGATGAGGCAAAATTGTTTGTCAAAAGGGATGAGTTTTTAGAACTCTTCCTGAATAGGCAGTGGAAGCAGCATGTCCTGGACTATTTTTAATGCAGAATTAGCTCAATTATTCTTAAGCAATGAAGTGAGAGTTTCAGGGTAGGCAGGAACATGTATGTGAAGTTACAATCAGATCAGCTAGGATCTTAATGGATGGCAGTGCAATCACAGGGGACTGAATGGCATACCCCTGCACCTAATTTCTATGTTTAATTGGATTTAAATCCCCGTCATTCTGGATCTGAATTAAAATCTGAAAATAACACAAGTTACTTTGAAGATGTCCAGATGGACTGAATCTTACTTTCTGTGGCAAAATGCAACTTCTGCTTAGTATTTTTTAAAGGGAGTCTGACCACAAAACTGTGAGACTTCGTCATATCTTACCAAATGCGTATCATTAACTACCTAACTCACCTCTAGTGTTCCTCATGGTCAATACTATCCCTACACCACACACCTTTCCCAGAATGGTTGGACAGCTCAACGCCCAGCATCTCTCAAACCAATATCATCATCTTTAGAAGGCTGCTGTGCACCCAGACAAGTATCACGAGCAGTCTAATGGCATGGCAGCTACAAAGCCACACACAGTGTAGCTGACATTCCCTTGCACATACAATTCAATTCTCTCACCGTCTTCACTGTTTAATCACTATACTAGATAATCTACTTGTCCTTAGTTACATCCCATCAAAACACCCTCTCCAAGTGACTACTGTTGTCAATGCCCACTGTAGACCTGTCACTTGTCACCGTCTAGTAGAAAGAAATGTCGCAATAGATGACACCAACTGTGCAAAAAAAAAATGCATACCACACCCAAAAATGAAACGTTGCTCAATGTGCATCTTTGGCGTTTGTTTCCAAGTGCAAATGAGGATTTAATCTTTCAAGTTTCCCAGTATATTCTCACCTAAACAAAAATTTCAAAAAATATAGGGGCACCAATTATTTTACTTGAAAATGAACTTAATCTCAGTATAGAACTTAGTATGATGATATAGCAAATTACATTGTTGAATTCAAATTTGGTCATGAGTGAAACAAATGCAGAACAGGAATATTCCTGTTCTATCTCCCACATCAGGAGAAGAAGAATGCAGGTTCACACGCAGAGTTCATAATCTAAGCCATTCCCTCAACAAGGAAGGAATTAAAATATTGAACATTGGTAGAGTGCCTGAACCAGGTAACTTAAAAGAGAACTCACTGTTAAACTTAAGGTAAACTTAATGTATTGATAATTTAAATTCTGACCATATAAAGAATTGTAATAGCTTTTCATTTTTAAAGATAAAATGAATGTGGCAATTAGATTAAAATACTTTCATCTGTAATAGTAATCACAACCGTAAAATGTGATTTTCATTTTAATACATTTTATTTAGACATAATCATTGCTGAGCTATCAAAACACATTTTTCTTGTGATCAAATAATGAAGTGTTTCCTAATTTAATGATTTTTCACACATCTCAGAATTAAAGATTGCATTTCAACTGACAATTAGCCCTGTTCATTGTTTTACGTTAGACATTGTAACCATAATAATAAAAAGTGAAATAGATTGTTAAGAAATTCTCACTTCCATAGGTTTTGGCACTAAATGTCAGTGCCACAAATAGGTTTAAGTATTACTGTGCTCCTTGGTAAGTATTTTACTAATTAGTTGTTACATGTTGGGTAACAAAGTCCAGGAATATTATTTGGATGGGTCGAGTGGTGGGAATGGGCAGAAATTTATCTCCTAATTGAATGCATGAACCTAGAGATGAACAGTGGACAGGTGATGCATTTTTCCTTTCCCACTGTGAAACCGACAGTTTAAGCAAGTATTAAAATTTGCCATCAATTCAGTGCATCATTTTGAAATAATTAGACTAGTTACAATAAAAACAAACCAAAATGGTCATAAGCTTTGTGCCATTTGTGAACTGGGTTCTTAAATTAATGGACAGTAAATTCAATTTCCAACTTACATTGTATCTTTTCAAATAAGCAAAAGCACCATCATGTTTCAGTTTCATTCTTCAAGTTTCAAAATATTAAGCCAGCCAAGTCTGCAATATCTGTTTGAAATTATTGTTGGTATTGTAGCAGAACTATAATCGCTGCACTGAAAACCCCAGCATGCTGATAGTGTCAAATTTATTTGTTCATTCTGGTACTTATGATACAATTATATTGCACCCACAGATGGACAGAACCAATTTTCTGAGACCTGTTTATATTACAAACACCAGCCATCCTAGGTATAACTGTAATATAATGGTTAACTCCAGGTTGGTCTTATGGTTCAGTAGGTAGAAAAGAGAGTTAAAGTTTTAGGTCCCGAGACCCTTCCCGAAGAAGGGTCACCGGACCCAAAAAGTTACCTGCTTTCTCTCCACAGATGCTGCCAGACCTGCTGAGTTTCTTCACATACGTCTGTGCCCGTTTCAGGTTTTCCACAGTTCTTTGTTTTATCGGAGCCATTCGTTTTGAGTTCAAGTCCCACCCAAGGACTTGACAGTCAAGGAGGTGTCCTCGTAATATATCCAAACACTATCAATATCAACTTTAAATCCTTCCAACACACACCAAGGGCAGGTGGGGTAACAGCAGGAGAGATCCCTGGCCAGCCATGTAGTGGGGAAAAAAATGGTGAATCTACCTTCAGGTTAATGTGTATGTAAAATGCAAGTTGCAAATCGAACTGCTGGCATCACTTGACTGGATAGACGTTATGGATGAAACTGGTTTGAACAGCATGGGGTATGATCTCTATTTTAGCCCCGATGGGTTCAGGACCAGTTTTCTGAACTACCTGAGAATCAGACTGGCCTATAGGCAAAAGAATCAAGAAGCAGTTAATTCCCAAATATGCTAAAACCTCAATATTCACTATTACCAGAATCGACCAAGACATGATTTCAAACTTATATTTTAATAGCTTAGCTGTCACCAGCTAGACATCCCAGTTACAAATGCAAAATACTCATGAACAACTGTATGCGGAACCAACTGCATGTGAATGCATTACATTTTAGTCAATATATTCATGTCTGCATCATACATTCATATATAGTACCTTTATTCAATTATACAGGTAAAAACAGTTTTCTGCAAAGAAGAGTCTCCAATTTTCTGGCAATTTTTTTAAAAATAAAACTGAGCTTCAGAAATGTTCTTGCTTGGATATAAAAATTGTACTAAATACTGAGTTTATAAAACAAGATTAAATTGCACCTTTGATTCTGGTTAACAGAAATAAACAGAGCTAATTACATATTCAGACTGGTCATAAAAAGCAAGCTAATTTTTGTTTTTAATGAAAAAGGAGATTATATGACTCCAGTGTTGCACAAACTGGTTCTTTTGGTCTCGGCACCAGCAATTTCTCTGTACCAGACAGCAGCTCCTCGTTCCATTGCTCAAACAGTTCTCCTTGCTGTTAGAACTCGTACTACAGATCCCACTCCTCCAGCTGCTAACACCTAAGGAACAAGATATTCAAAATGATAACAGTCATGTGAACAAGAATTCTGCTTTGAATTTTAAGCTTCAAACTTTTATTTCTGGGTTTGGCTGGTTTTTGGGTAGGGGTTATTCAGGAAGAGGAGATCTCCACAGAAAGAATTTCCCCACATTGAGTATGAAAAGTTATTAATCTATATTACAGTGATAGCTGTCATTCCACTAGAAATGGATCTCTTGGGGCAGAAGTTCAGTAACTGAATTATGGTCCGACTTGGATAGTAAGTCACAATTTCAGCCATTCGTCACGACCCACTCGTGGAGCAAGTGGCCTCATCTTCTCTGGTCGATAATCAAGCGGTTTAGGTTTACCCAGATTTACCATGGAAACCTGGGATTTCACTACTGGGATCAGTTACCAAGTTTGAGGACTTCATCTATTGTAATCACGCTGTACTTTGGGCTATCTTCACAAGCATAATACTCCGTTCCCTCCTCTGTCATATGCTTATCCAGCCTCTCCTTTAATATATATACACCAGTTACCTCAACCACTCCTTGTGGTAGAGTTCTACACTCTCATTACATCCTGGACAAACCAGTTCCTTTTGAATTCTTTGATTTTTTTTAATTTGTGTGAATCTCTTCTATTGATGTGACTCCTCGCAGTGAAAATATCTCTTATATCTAACTTATCAATTCTTTCATCATTCGAGAGACCCCTCCCAGGTCACAAAGCAGTTTCTCTCTCGATAAGAAAAAAAACACATTTTGATGGGTACAGCCAGACATTAGGTGTCATTCTTAATAATCTTTTCTGCACCCTCTCCAAAGCATCTATATGCTTTTAAGTGAAATGGCGACCAGAATTTGTACCTGACCAGAAACATTTGTATGCAGTACTCCAAAGCGTGGAATAATCAAAGCTTGTATCACTTGAGCATAACTTACTTCTCAATTCCATCGCTGTAGAAATTTTTTTAAAAATTAGCTTCTGTCACCATTTATACCGATGAATGCATTTGTACTCCCGGGACCTCTCTGCTTTTCTACCTCATTTGAAGTTATTTTCCAACTACTGTAAAATGTAACTTTTTTCTTACAAAATGTAATACAATAATTGCAGAAACAAGTCATGAGTAAGTTCAGTTCAACTGCAATGATCCCCTTTTTAGTACCTGTAAGAGAAATTCTCACTTATAAACATAATTAAATCTACTTGAATACGTAATAGTTACTAAAGATTTATTTTATGCTCATGTGACCCTAAACTTATTGACGCTGAAGGATCCAATGACAATGCAAGAGCTGTTGCTTTGAGCACCTGAAGCACCAGGAGATGGATATCAATCTGTTTACTGCTCACTCACATTTGCGTAAGCAATAATTACAATCTTTGAGGGGGCTTGGTATTTGCATACATGATAGTACAGGTGCCAAAGATGGTATCATCGTTCCAAACAAGACATACTTGGCAAATCCTAAATTTGTTTCATTAAATCATTATAAGAATAAAATATGTAATGATATATGCTGCATCCTTGGCCACTGTTACCTCACTTTATTGAGCAAAACTGAAAAAGACAATAACTTAATTAAATCCAATGAGAAATGCCAAATGGAAAATCAGAGGCTTTTTTTTATTTCAGAGCTCTCAGCATATGAAAGCTGCCCTCAATCTGTGATTTTTGGACCATTTTCTTTAAATTCAAGCTATAATATGCTCCAAAGATACGCACTAAATTGTATATATTTTATAGAATTTAAGATAGGGAATAATAATTCTATGCAGGAATTTCTCAGCAGTACCCTAAGCCCACTATCTCCAGCTGCTTCAATGAACTTCCCTCCATCAGGTGTTCAGAAGTGGGGATGTTTGATGATTGCACAATATTCATCACCATTCGTGACTTACTGAAAGAGTCCATATCCATCTGCAAGGCCCAGATAATATCCAGGCTTGATAAAGGTAAATAACGTTCATGTCATTCAAGTACTAAGCAATTACCATCTCTAAGAGAGAAACCATCCATACCCTCTTAACATTCAATAGCATTTTCATCACTGAATCCATCATTATCAACATCCTCAGGGTTATCATAGTTCAGTTTCTGGCCAATCTACATAAATGCTGTGGCTGGCAGGGCTGGTCAGAGGTCAGAAATTTTGAGGTGAATAATTTATCTCATCTTCTCAAAGTATGTCCACCATTTACAAGGCACAAAGCCTGAAGTGTGGTGAAATAGTCTACTGGTTCCTGGATGGGTTAAACCCCAACAACACTCAAGCAGACCCCCAAAACTATCTGGGGTGAAAAGAGTTTTCCCTCAAATCCCCTGCCTTTCACTTTAAAAATTATGCTCTTTTGACAACACATTTCAAACTTGCAACCTCAAATCATCTAGAAGGACAAAGGCAACAAATGGATGGGGACTGCCAGGTTTCCAAAACGCCCCATCCATCCTGACTTGGAACTACACACTGTTCTTTCATTATTGCGGGGTCAAAATCCTAGAAAGCTGGTCTCTCTCTCTCTCTCTCTGTCTGTCACCCACAGACTGCAGCAGTACAAGGCAGCAGCTCACCACCATCTTTGAGTGCAATGAGGGATTACAACAAATGCTGGCCTAATCAGTGATGCCTAAATCCTGTGAACAAATAAAATGCTGTATTTGCACAGCACACAGGAGCAAAACTAAAGAAAATTTGGTAAACAAGATTGATATTTTTGGTACTTGTCAAAGCCGGAGAACCTTAGGACAGGAATTGTAGAGTTTAGGACATGCATGGCCAGCGATGAGTTTGCTGGAATATTCAAGTACACAGGTAAGAAAACTTTGGATGAAGATTTCAAAAGCAGCTGAGCAAAGGAATGTTAACTAGGAATGTTACGGAGGTCAAAAAATAAGTCAGCAAGTTTGCAAATAATCCAGTTCAATATCAGGACAGCTGTCAAGAGAGCAGTGGAGTCCTACAGCTAGTGAAAGACAATGGTTTTGGTCTTCTCAATATTAAATTGGAGAAAAGTACACTGCAGTAATGGATGTCATACAAGAGTTAAACAATTTAGAAACTGAAGCAGGGTTGAGGGTGGAGATGCAGGGAATAAAGCTGGGCGTTGTCAGCATACAAGGAAACTACCTATGTTTTTGAATGATGTCTCCAAGGGACAGCTTGTAGATGAGAACTAAGAGAGCACAAAAGAACACCTCCCCAGAGGGATACTACAGGCAATGATGTAGAACTGGAAAATGAAGTCATTTCAGCCGATTCATCAAAAAAAATTTGATTAAAAAGGAAGGTGAGTCCAGTGAGTACAGCTGCAATAGAGAAGGATGCCACGCTCAACAAAGGTCGCAGACAGGTCAAGAAGAACAGGCATGGACGAGTTGGACCGAAGGGTGTTTCCGAGCTGTAAATCTCTGACTTTATAAACAAGTCATAGTTTGCCCTTGTTATATACGCTGCCACTTTTGACTTTGACAAAAGCTATTTTGGTATTGTGGTAATTGTGGAATCAGATTGGAGGGATTCAAACATGGAGCGTCTGGAAAAATGGGCTTAGATTTGAATGAAGGAACGCAGCAAGTGAGGCAGCAAAGGAGCAGGAAAGTTGATGTTTTGGGTCAGGGCCCTTCTTCAGAAATGGGCTTCACAGCGGTGTTATAACTCACTCAGCATAGTCAGAACTGCAGATGCTGGAGTCAGAGACAACAGTGTGGAGCTGGAGGAACACAGCAGGCCAAGCAGCATCAGAAAAGTTGACACTCTGGGTCGGGACCCTTCTTCAGAAATGAATTTATTATAGCATTTATTGCCCGTTCATTACTATCCTTGAAAAGTGGTGGTGAGCTGCATTCTTAAACCGCTGTGGTCCATGAAGGGAGAATCATTAATTCTTGGTGTTGCCCTCGCTTTATTGCATGCTCCTCATTCACCTTGAATACCTTCAGTTGACACTTGTAAGTTTTCCTTTTAAATACAGAACTATGCTGTTGGCCAACTAAAGAGACAGAAAGCCTGAAAAATCATTAATTAGTTCAATAAGGCAGAGATTGCAAATTTAACATGCTGAGTTATCTGCTAGGTTTTTCCCACACTATACAATTACCTGCCTAGAAATTGCCAATATATTAATATTGTGGTTACAGTTTTCTCAGAAGCTGCTAAGTTGGGCTACACTATAAATGCAAAAGAATCATTGATCTTACTGATGCATGATATCCTCTACTAACCTTTTCATGCCACTGTAGTAAAATTGCACTGTTATTTTCTGATGGTTTTTCAAAACCTTTGTAGATGTATTTCATCAGGAGGTCAACACTATTCTTGTCAAGGGATTGAACAGCCTTTTCAATGTCATTACTTTTAAACGAAGTCAAAACTTTAAGAACAGTATTTTCTGCTCGATCCTGTTAAAAACAAAAAGAAACTGTCAGTGCCAATTATAACATAGTTCCAATTATTATCAACCAAATTTAACATCCTACTTGTATTTTTGTTTTAGACTTGAACTGGGCAGAGGCACCAGCTTACTGTACCTGTCAATCAATGCCTGACAAATCACAATGGAGTCTCCTAGATTGAGCAAATTTAAGCAAAGTGGAATTGTAAGTCATACAGAACACTTTCAACAAGGCAGCTCACACGAACCTTCCTGCAACAAGCCCTACCCCATAACAAATCATGTGCATCAACAGATATCAGTGTTGATATTTACATTTCAACTGTACATACAGGAATTCCTCACATTAAGTTAGCATTCTCAAAAACACTGATTTGCTTTTAAATTGTTTATTTGTCTGAGGCAGTGGTGTAATGGCATTGTCACAGGACTAATAATCCAGTGGCCCAGGTTAATGCTCTGGAGACAAACACAAAATGCTGGAGAAACTCAATAGGCCTGGCAATATTTGTCAAAACAGAAAGTTTAACAGAGAAACAGAGTTTAAATGTACAAGCCCTGTATGATGATTCTTCAAAACTCTCAGACTTGTAACTTTAACTCTCTTGCCATGGATGCTGCCAGACCTGCTGAGTTTGTCTAGCATTTTCTGTGCTTATTTCAGACTGCCAACAATTGCAATGTTTTGCTTTTATTCTAACATCTGGAGACATGAGTTTGAATCCCACTATGGCCGATGGGGAAATCTGACTTCAAGAAAATTTAGAATCTGAAGCCCAATGTCAACCATGTAACAATTGTCAATTGGTGTACAAACCCATCTGGTTCACTAACGCCCTTTAGGGAAGATAATCTTACGTGTTCTGGCCTACATGCAACTCCACACCCACAGCAATGTAGTTTAATCTCTACTGCCCTACAAAAAGACTGACCAAACCACTCAGTTGCACCAACCTGCTACAAAAGTATCAGAAAGGAATGAAACCAGATGACCACCGGCCATCAACATTCCACACCACAAATATAACATCAAACGCAGCCAGGCTGATCTGCAAAGTTCTCCAAACAAACATGTGGGGGCTCATGCTAAATTGAAAGATCTGTCCCACAGACTAGTCAAGCAACAGCCTGACAGTCATACTATCAGAATCATACCTTACAGACAATGCCCCAGAGAACATCATGGGTATGTCTTGTCGCACTTGTAAGACAGACCCAGCAGAGATGGCAGCAGAGTGGTGTACAGTAGGGAGGCAGTTGTCCTGTGAGTCCTCAACATTGATTCCAGACTCCAGTAAGTGTCATGGAGAAGGAAAATCCCAGCTGACCAACACCTACCATGCCCCATTGGCTGATTAATCAGTACTCTTTCATGTTGAAAATTACTTGGGAAAAGCAATGAGTGCAGCAAGACACAATGTACTCGGGAGAGGATGACAGCCACTTCAACGTCCATCACCAAGAGACGCTCAGTAACACCATTACTTTAACAAGCAGGCTGAGTCCTAAAGGACATGACTTGTGGAGTGGGTCTATGGCAGGTGGTGAGCAATCCAATGCAAGGGAAAATTCTACTTGACTTTACCCCCCAATCTGTCGTACATATGTACGTTTATAACTATATCAGTCGGAGTGATCACTGCACAACCATTGTGGAGCCATTTTCGCACTGAGAATGCCCGCCACTGTGGTGCAGGGCACCATCAACATGCTTAATGGGACAGACTTTAAACAGACCTAGCAACCCAAACTGAGCCACTGCGGGCCATCCGCAGAACTGTTTTCAAACAATCTGAAATCTTAGCGGTTGGCCTATGCCCCACACTACCATTATCATCAATCCACAAGCCTGAAAATTAGGTATTAACTTGAAGTTAAAATACAGGACTACTTGCATGAAACAGTACCAAGAAACATGCATTAGGCAAAGCTTTCCAATTGCACAACCAAAGCTGATCTATACTCTACAGTCCTGTCATGTCAATCATGGACAACAGTTAAACAAGAAACATGTGATGGAGGCTTCACAAATATCCTCATCATCAACAGGGGAGCCCAGCACATCAGTGCAAAATAACAAGGCCGAAGCATTGACATTCATCTTCAGCTAGAAATGCAGAGTGAATAATCCATCTCAGCCTCTTCCCGAGGTTCCTGGTATCACAGGTGCCTGGCTTCAGCCAACTCGATTCACTTCGCCTGATATCAAGAAATAGCAGAACATTCCAGTAACAGTACTGAAGAAATTGTGCTCCAGAACTAGCCATGCCCCTAGTCAAGCTATTCTAGTAAAGCTACAACACTGGGATTTACCTAACAATATGGAAAACCATGCTAACTTGCTCACTGAACTGGCAAATCTGTACATGAACAAACTTACCAGCTTGGCAAGCAAGTCAACAACTGCATCAACAACCTGAGCTACAAGTCTTCTCAAAAACCTTGAATATGGAAAATTACCCAGGTATGTCCTGTGCATAAAACCCAGGCCAGCCAATTACCACCCCATCAATCTATTCTCAAACCAACCAAATAATGGAAGGG